ATGAGACAAAAACAATAAAATATTGAAGTGGGAAGTCAGAACAAATGTTAAACATGAGAAAACCAAATACCAAGCTGGCAGAAAGGTAAGCCAAGAAGCAACCTAATTTACAGCACAGAACTGTTTATACCAGTATTTTTAGATAGCAGACTCAAACTGTGCTGCCTGATATGACAGCCACTAGCCACATGTGTATTTTTAAGTTAAACTGATTAAAATTTAAATTTAAAATTTAGTGTCTCAGTTGCCAACATTTCAAGTGTTCTTCAGTGATACACTGTGGTACTGAGCAGCACAAATATAAACTACTTCTATCAACACAAAAAGTTTCACTGAAACTGAAGTAGAAGGTGAAAAACTGTAGTGCCCAATCTATAGGAAAACTTAAAAAAAAAAATCACACACACACAGGAATAAATTTAATAAAAGACAGACAAGAGCATACCATTATCCAAAGGAAATCCTACACAAATGAAGGGATATACCACTATGTTCACGGATTGGAGGACCCTCCTTCCAAATGAAAAAAATATCAATTCCCCCTCAAATCAACTATGCCTTCAATCCCAACCAAAATATCGCTCTAACTGTTTGCTTACAAGCTGATTCTGAAATGCATACAGAAACGCAGGAGTCCAAAAAACACCAAGACACCAGGAATGCTGATACTATCAGACACCAAGACTGAAAATAATGAACGGCAATTAATATAACATAGTATTGGAGTAAGAACAGACAAATAGATGATGAAATACAACAAATAATTCATCAAGACATTTGCATGGGAGAGGCTCTAGCCAGGACAACTGGGCAAAAAACAAAAATAAAAGGCACCCAGCTTGAAAAAGTGAGAAGTCCAAGTCTCTATTCACAGAGGACATAATCCTGTACAGCTGACCACTGAACAGCACAGGCCTGAACTGCACAGGTGCACTTACACGGGGACTTTCTTACACCTCTGCCACCCTGAGACAGCAACAGCAACATCTTCTCTTTCTCAGCCCACTCAACATGATGACAAGGAGGAGGAAGACCTTTACCGTGATCCACTTCCACGTAATGAACAGTAAATACATCTTCTCTTCCTTATGATTTTCTTAATAATTCTTTCTCTAGTTTACTTTATTGTAAGACTACAGTATATAATACATGTAACATTCAAAACATGTGTTCATCAATTGTTACCAGTGAGGCTTCTAGTCAACAGGAAGTTATCAGTAGTCAAGTCTTGGAGAAGCCAAAAGTTATACATGGCTTTCTGACTGTGGGGGAGGAGGGTCAGCACCCCTAATTCCTGCATTGTTCAAAGGCCAACATTAGACAGAAAATGCAAAGGAATCCAATAGAGAAAAACATACTAAAAGTATAGAAAGAGCTCAGAAAGATCAAAGATTATGAGGTCAAGCTATAAAACAATTGTTTTTCTATAAACTTGCAATAAATAATTGAAAATGAAAAGAACACCTTCATTTACAACAGCATCAAAAGGACAAAATATTTAGAAATAAATTTAACAAAAGACATGCAAAACTTGTATTCTGAAATCTGTAAAACACTGTGGAAAGAAATTAAATATGATCTAAACAAATCAGAAAACATCCCAAGTTCATGGATCTGAATACTAAATTACGCCCCAAACTGATTTACAGCTTCAACAGAACCCTACTAGAGTCCAGACTGGCTTCAACAGAACCCTACTAAAGTCCAGACTGGCTTCAACAGAATCCTACTAGAGTCCAGACTGGCTTCAATAGAATCCCTATTAGAGTCCAGACTGGCTTCAACAGAATCCCTACTAGAGTCCACACTGGCTTCAACAGAATCCCTATTAGAATCCAGACTGGCTTCAACAAAATCCCTATTTGAGTCCAGACTGGCTTCAACAGAATCCCTACCAGAGTCCAGACTGGCTTCAACAGAACCCTACTAGAGTCCACACTGGCTTCAACAGAATCCCTATTAGAGTCCAGACTGGCTTCAACAGAATCCCTACTAGAGTCCAGACTGGCTTCAACAGAACCCTACTAGAGTCCACACTGGCTTCAACAGAATCCCTACTAGAGTCGCTTCAACAGAATCCCTACTAGAGTCCAGACTGGCTTCAACAGAATCCCTATTAGAGTCCACACTGGCTTCAACAGAATCCCTACTAGAGTCCAGACTGGCTTCAACAGAATCCCTATTAGAGTCCACACTGGCTTCAACAGAATCCCTACTAGAGTCCAGACTGGCTTCCACAGAACCTTACTAGAGTCCAGACTGGCTTCTTTGTAGATTTTAACAAGATGATTCTAAAATTCATATGAAATGGTAAGAAACCCAGAATAGCCAAAATCATCTTGGAAAAAAATAGAGCAGACTTCCAGTCTCTGGTACAACATGTAGAGAGCTTGGAAGCCTTCACTCCAATCCTCACAACAGGAAAAACAAAAAGCTGAACAAAACTCTTGTTAGATCCATGACAGAACTGAGGTCCCAGGACAAACCACCTCCCTGGAAGCTAGAGAAATGGGAGCCAGAGAATCAGAGCTTATTGGTAGCAGAAACTACTGATGGATCTATCCACTGGTAGAAACACTTAAAGGGTAACAGACTAATTGCTAAAGATTGAACAATGACTAGCTAGAGAAATAAAAATCTCAAGGAGTCCAATCTTATGGGAGGTAGGTTGCCTTCACAGTGCTCACCTAAGGAGAAATGGATAATCTGAATAGGCCTACATCTATTAAAGAAATGAGTAATTAATAACCTTACAAAACAGAAAGCAACGGGCCCACATGTTCTCACTGGTAAACTGTGTCAAACATTTAAGAAGGAAACAACACCAATTCTTTACAGTCTCTTCCAGAAAATAGAAGTAGAGGGAACACCCTTTAACTCATTCATGAGACCAACATTACCATCATCCCAAAATCAGAAAAAGACGTCACAAGAAAGGATAATTACAAAGCACTATCCGTCACGAACACAGATGCAAAAATCCTCAACAAAAATATTAGCAAATCAAATCTAATAACATGTAAGACAAATTATAAACTATGACCAAACAGGATTGAGTCCAGGAATGCAAGGCTGGTATAGTATTTGAGAAATGTAACCCATCACATCAACAGGCTAAAGAAAAAAAAATCACATCAATAGATGCAGGAAAATTATTTGACAAATTCAACATCCATTCATGATAAAAACTCTCAGCAAATTAGGAATACAGGGAAACATTCTCAACTTGATAAAGACGATGTGCAAAAAAAAAAAAAAAAGAAATCTATAGTTAACACCATATTGAACAATGAGAAATTAGATGCCTTCCTCCCTAAGATCAGGAGCAGGGCAAGGATGCACCCTCTCATCACTCTATTCACTATCACATTGGAAGTATATTAAGTGTAATAAGACAAAAAAGGAAATAAAAGAAATAATTACGGCAAAGTCACAGGATACAAGGTAAATATATGAGTCAACTGCTTTCTCATACACTATCCATGAACAATTGGAATTTCAAATTAAAAACACAGCACTAAGTCAAGCATGGTGGCTCATGCCTACTAGCATTTTGGAAGGCAGAGACGGGAGGACTACTTTGAGGCCAAGAGTTCGACACCAACCTAGGCAACAGAGTGACATCCCATCTCCACAATTAAAAAAAAAAAATAGCTGGTGCACGGTGATGTGTGGCTGCAGACCTAGCTGTCAGGAGGCTGAGATGGGAGGATCTCCTGAGTTTGATGTCACAGTTAGCTATGATCACATCACTTCCCTCCAGCCTGGGTAACAGAGCTAGATCCTGCCTCTTCTAGGGGTAGAAAGCCAGGCACGGTGGCTCCTGCCTGAAATCTCAACACTTTGGGAGGCTGAGGAGGGCAGATCTTGAGGTCAGATGGAGACCATCCTGGCTAACATGGTGAAAGCCTGTCTCTACTAAAAATATTTCCAAATCACCTAGCTGATCTGGGACCTGTATCCAGAATAGATAAAGAACCCTTACAACTAAGTAATAAAAAGGCAACCCAATTAAAAAATGAGCCAAGTATCTGCAAAGAAGATATACAAATGACCAATAAGCACAGGAAAAGATGCTTGACATTATTAGTCATCAGGAAATACAAACAGATACCACAATGAGGTATCACTGCACCCTCAGGTGGCTAGAATCGAAAGATCAGGTTGTAACAAATGTTGGCAAAGACGTAGAGAAATCAAAACCCTCATTCACCATTGATGAGAATAGGAAATTGTGTAGCTACTTTAGAAAACAGTCTCATAGTTTCTCAAATGGTTAATCACAGAGTTAACACATGACTCAGCAACTTCACACCAAGTATCTAACAGCAAGACAAATGAAAACATATAGCCACACAACAACTTGTACCATAAGTATTACTGGCAATATCCATAATAGCCAAAAGGTAGAAACAACCCAGAAGTCCATGAACCAATCAGTGAATAAATAAAATGTGGTCTTACCCACATAATGGAAAATCATTCAACCATAAAAAGGAATGAAGTAGTGATAAATTCCACAACCTGGATGAACCCTGAACATACTACAGTATGTGAAAGAAGCCAGACACAAAAAAGTATGTATTACATGATTCCATTTACATGAAATTTCTGTAACAGGCAAATCCAGGTATTGGTGGCTGCTTAGGGTCAGATAGATGGGTGGGTAAAGAGGCGGTGGCCAAAGGATATGGGGTTCCATTTTGAAGCCATGAAAATGTTCTAAAACTGACTTTGTTGATGAGTACAAATATCTGAATACACTAAAATCCAATGCATTTTACAGTTTAAACAGATAAACTGTATGCTATAATTGTATCTCACTAAAAAAGAAAGAAGCCTACACATATTAGTCATCTTATTATGACAAAGGTAAACCTGGAGAATACGGAGGTTGCAGTGAACCGAGATCACGCCATTGCACTCCAGCCTGGGTAACAAGAGCAAAACTCCGCCTCAAAACAAACAAAAAATAGTATAAAGTGAAACAAAAAACTTACTTCAAGAGTTCATAATTCTTCTCATTTAATCTCACGGCATTCTCTCTCCAAAATTTCTCAGATTTGTGCACGGGACTCCACTCCAACCTTCCAGATTTAAGTTCCGAACTGTATTCATCAAATGAACTATAAAAATGTGTAAAGAATTCAAAATTTATAAGAATCTGACCATTACTCCAAAATTAAGCAAAATAAAATGTCTTCACTGATTATTTAATTATAAAGGAATGACCATCCTTTGTACATTTACAAACTACCACTAAGCGAAGTTTAAACAGTTTAAATAATCTTTAATAAAATATCTGAAATTTTATTCAGTATAGTAAGGTCCAACCCTCCTGTCAAATTTGAATGCTGGGTATGAGACATAAAACTCAGCACTTGCTTTCAAAATCTTTACTCCAATATATACATGAATGTGTATAAGCAAAAAAATTGAAAATCAGAATTTCTACCATGACACTTGAAATACTGTATTTCCCAGACCAACAGGCATATTAATGTAAAATAATATATTACGTAAAAGCATAGTACTTTAACAAAAACAATAAACCCATACTATTATAGTATAAATATCATAAACTATAAAAATACATCACAAAAACAAAATCACATGCATTGGCACAATATTTTACAATGTGATTACCAAGAGTGTAGATGTAATTAATTGGATTAATCCATTATAGACCAAAGACAAAAGCCTCTGTACATACAACAAACTGCACTTCACCTTAATTTAAAAACCATTCACTGGACAGTAACGTGATTATTCCAAGCTTTAAAGTCTGAAAATTTTTAATGTGGTTAGCCAGTGGACAAACACACTGTCAGAACATACTTGGACCTTCTCTCAAGTAAAATTTAAAAACGGATGTAACCATTCAAATTTTACTAGTACATTCCACAACCAGGATGTACTAGGTAAGCTGATCAGAGGGTCCCGTTTGAATAAAGTAGTAAAATACTTTCATGTAGGGCCAAGTTAGTATAAGAAGTATAACTATTTTTAATATTCATATCCTAATCCTATAATAGCAAAAACGAAGCCAAGTCTGTTTTAGCTGCACCCATCACCCTATTAACTTTATGTAAGTGGTATTTTTCAAATTACCAAATTCAAGGTGAAAAATCAATAATTAGCTAAAATGGATTAAATCATGTACATGATTTACACTGATCTTAGTTTTTACAAAAACAGGTCTTAAATGATTATTACAGAGAACCAGTCATAAGTTTTTAATAAACATGGTAACAGAATATATAGCTATAAAGTCTATTCCTGGCCAATTAGAATCAATGTATCCATATTTTAAGTATTTATAATTATAGAACCATAAAAATCATTTTTCTTCCTCTGCAAAATCCATTACAAACCAGTGATACAGGTAACACCTCCCACCTCTGGGAAATCTTGGAGCCCTGGGGTAAATACATTTCTGGAGCACATTCTTTGCTGAAGGCGCCTGCAGGGCAGACGGAACCTCACAACAAATCCTGCAAGGTTAGCATTTTTATTACTATTTTACCAAAAGGAAAACAGACTTGAAAAAGTCAAGAAGCTCGTGTGAGGCCACACATGAAAAAAAAAAGCCAAACAATTCCAAGAATTAGCCTGGCTCCAAACCCCAATCCATCTAAGAGAAGCACCTGCTTTCAGAGAGTAACTTTTTTAAAAACATGCCAATGGTGTAAAAACAAAGAATACATGTTAATGGGAAAGATCATAAGATATTATGTATAAAACTGAAAAAGAACAAGGTCCAAAAGAATATGCAGAGCCCCTTTTGTGGGTTGTGGGGGGCAGGCAGAGAGGGGCTAAAAGGCTTTTTGGAAGCAAACACAAGACACCAGAACACAGTGAGGAGAGGCAGGGAAGATGGTGGGAGTGGCATGCAGTCCCTTCCATATGGGCTAATTCTTTACTGTATATACATTATTTACATTATTTTTAATATAAAAACTGAGCCAACAGGCCTTCAAAAACCAGGAAAACAAATACTTTCTCCATATACAGACAAACCTCCTTCATTAATTAATAAATCACCTTTATTGCTTAAAAAGCCTCTAACAGAAGACTCAAGGAATTCCAGGGTGGAGCCGGTAAGATTTTAGACAGCAGAAAACAGTGGAAATCTCCCTATAAGAAGAGATAACACACAGCTCTGACCAACTGTGGCCATGTAAGAATGATGTCTTCACAGGAGACATTAACGTACTTTAGTGAACTCTTGATTTATATAGGTAGCAACAAATTCAGGTTTTCTTAAATTTTCTTGCTAGTCAAACAAAGTCCAATACATCCAGCACATGAGAATTAAAAAGAATAACACACCTAAGGTCCTGGACACTCTCTCCAAGTTTTTCCAAAAGAAATTTGATATCTTCGCTGATATCTTCATCGTCGTACTTCTGCTGTTCCAAGTTCTCCAACTGTTTCAGAACTTTGCACTGAATCATAGCCAGAGCATATTCTTGGCGAGTTTCTCTTTCAGTCGATTTTTCCAAAAAGTTCTGGGTTAGACAAAGGGACAGTGAGAAACTAATTTGTCATGTGATGTTCGTAGACCTCCGCACATTCATTTATAGTTTCTCTCGTCCTCCTATTCTCACATTTAACTTTCACCTTCAGGAGGATGACTCTATGTCAAATCCTTACTTAGCTCCTGAATGTCTGTCCTATATCAGAAGCCTACTTCTGATCACTTTTGTATTTCCTAGATTGCTAAATATCTTTAATTCTTGACCCAGACGGGCCCTACAACACTGAAAACATTTACAACAAAATCCACTACAATCCTTTCTCACAGACTTCCTCTGGCTGTGAGCTCTTGGTTGTCGCTCACCTAGAGCATACTAAGAGAGTGTTTCTTCAAGTTCGCAGCCAAGTTCTCCAGTCTGTGACAACTGTCCCCCCTCTTATCAACCTGTAAGTGCACAAGGGACAACGATTTTTAAAACTCCCTTGTTTGAACAATCATCAGAAAGTTTTGCAACATTCAGGCAAATTCCCCAGTCCTCTTCTATGATTTTCTATTTTTAAGAGTACTTAACAAAACAGCAATAAGCATCCACAAATTTCTACCATAAACTGTCATGGAATTAACTAATGTTTCTGAGTAAGGACCAGGCTAAGCTCTTGGAACAAGAAGCAACAAGACAGGCCTCCGTTTTCAAAAAGCTACTTTCACCAAGCTAGTTTAAAAAGCCTGTCAAATGAAAACAAAAATAGGCAGTAACAACTAACTCCAACTGTAACAGAATTTGAAATTTCTTTTTTTCTTTTTTCACAAGGAAGTTCTATCCCTAATAATGAAGCTGAACAAATGGAAAGTGATTTAGCTCAGCATGTGGGAGTCAGTGAGATCAATGCCCACCAATCTTCCCTTTAGTTTTCTACCAGATTTTAAGTACCTTGAGAGTTGTTTGTCTTATTTTTCTATCACAAGTGCTTGGCTCAGAGTTGATATTCAATAATAAAATATTTGTGAACCTAATATCCCTCCTCAGTGATGAGATCTATAGATATCACAAATTGCTTGCAATCCTCCTTATTATAATTAGATAATGATGAGTAGAGTGGCAGCAACAGTATAACTAAATTAATTTGCTTTTAGAATTACTTCAAAACTAAAACATGAACTTCCACACAGGTATGATGGGTTTAAGAACCTACTGAACCAACCTCTCTCTGGCAGAAAACAACTATATACCTTGGAAGGCCAAGGTGGGCAGATCACAAGGTCAAGAGATCAAGATCATCCTGGCTGACACAGTGAAACCCCATCTCTACTACAAATACCAAAAAAATTAGCCAGGCGTGGTAGCACATGCCTGTAGTCCCAGCCACAGCCACTCGGGAGACTGAGGCAAGAGAGTCGCTTGACCGCAGGAGGTGGAGATTGTGGTGAGCTGAGATGATGCTACTGCACTCCAGCCTGGGCACCAGAGCAAGACTGTCACACACACAAAAAAACCTGAACAGACTGAAAAGGCAACTACTTAAAAGAACAGTAAATAGAAGCAGACAGAGTCTGATATGAAGTATACTCACCTACAGTAGGAAAGTCAGGAACAATACAGGTATATTCCTGTCACTCCAATTTTTATCCTGAAACTAAGGCACAGTGGCAGAGAACCCACCGAAAAGCTGAAAATAGTCTTTCTGGCCTGGGGAACCAGAAAAGCGAAGCTGGAAAACCATGAACGCTGAAGTGGGTAAGACTCAGGAAGCCCCAGAATACAAAGAGCAAAAAAGGGAACCCAAATCCTATCTGAATATAGCTCCAGGATGAATCAGATACTGGAACTAACAGAAAAAGACTTCAAAGCAATTATTATAAAAATCCTCAATGAAATAAAGTGCTCTCAATACACGAAAAATTTCATACAAAAAATCCATAAAGTATTTAAAAAGAAACAGAAATCCTAGAAGTAAAACCACAATTTCTGAAATAAAAAATCAGCTGATGGACTTAAGAACCAAGTGGAGATAACGCAGAAAAAGAGTAAGTGAACTTGAAAATAGGTTAAAATTATCCAAGGAGAAGAATAGAGATAAAAGGTCTTTTAAGAAATGAATAGAGGCCCAGGTCCTGTTATATATTATCTAACGGTCCAACAAATGTGCAATTGGAATACCAAAAGGAGAGGAGGCAGAGAATGGAGCTGAAATTTTATTTGAAGAAATGGCTGAAAGTTTTCCATTTAATGTCAGAGAAATTTTCAGACCCAAGATGTCCAATGAACACCAAGCACAAGCAAAGGCATAGCACTGTCAAACTGACAAAAAGTTTGAAGAATATTTTTGTTGCATACAGATTTTGAATTTATAATTCGTAGAAAGAAAGAAAACTAAAACAAGAACCAAAGTGACCCTGGTAAATTCTTTGAGACTATTCAAGTCAGCAAAGCTTCCATCTACTTAAAGTAGAAAGTATTCATTTCAGAGACAGGACAGTTCAGAGTGAACTGTTATCTTAAGTCGGAAAAACAAAACTACAATTTTGTGGTATTTTTCATCAGGTTACTTCTACCGAGACCAGCTCAGTCATGGAGACCCCCACCCATGCAGCGCTGAAGGTACTAAGAGACCCAGAGATAGAGTGGGACTATCGGGGGCACCGGCCTGCCAAGCTAAGAGCCACAGAGGGCTGACAGCCTCACCAGCTGAGAGCCTCAAGTAGACTCTGACCTACATATTTATTCTCTCTGAAAAGGTGATTATTATTAACAAGCAGGTGTTCTCTGCTTTCTCACAGGACAAAGATAAACTAGGCAGGCAGCTGGTGAGTGCCCGCCACTGATCGAAGACAAACTAGAAAGCGTTCTCCAAGAGAAATCAGTGAGGGCAGGGTCACACATCCCATGCTTAAAGAACTAGCTTAACTGCTATATAATATACATGTACTGTTTACCACTTCAGAACTCCCTCAACAGTTTTCCACTTGGGGGCTGGCTCAGTTTCCCTTGCCGTCATTCTCAGTAAACAATATAATTTATCACATACATTAGGAACGGTCCCAGCACTTCTGCATTTCTGTTGTGTTACTGTTTTATCCTTTCAATTGTGAACAAAGTGTATTTATTTACTGGTTCAATTTTAAATATATTCCAGAGACTCCATTTCCAGTAATGGTAAAATGGCTTCTATTGGATCAACCCTTCCATAGAAATGAACTATAAAATCTAGATGATATATGAAAGATTATCTGAAAGAATAAAAGGCAGCAGAAACTAGAATGCAGTCTAGATATAAGAAGAAAAAAAAAAGGAATGGCACCAGGAAAATTTCTAGTTTTATATATGGCTCTCCTCCCAAGGACAGGTCCCACTCAGAAAAATTCAGGTAAAACTCAGAAAGAACTCACGACCTCATCAGCCTGAGGAGACAGAGGACAGTTCAGAGTGACCATAGCAGCTAGAAGTGAGAGGAGAAATCAGAGAGAAACATAAATGAGCCCCAAATTCTGCATATGAACTCTGCCCAAATCTCTAGCTGACCACTGACTTATAAAATGTAAGAACAGAATGCCAGCAGCCCAGCTATGTCTAAAAGAACTGAAAAAAGATTTAAGCTGCTGCTCACCACAGGAAGACAGACTTGGAATTAGAGCCCAGCCAAGCTAACTGCCTGCTAAAACAACCTCAATGTCCTATGGAGAAACATAACAGAAACCAGTCCTAGGGTGTATTACTTACAACATTCAGAATACACTCCCAAATTAATAAGCATGTGAAGAAACAGGAAAATGGAACCAACGCTCAAGAGAAAAGCCAGTCAAGGAAGACCAACCCTGAGATGAATTAGAGGTTGGAGTTAGCAGGAAAAGATGTAAGATGCACATTATGACTATGCCCAAAGAAAAAGATGGTACCAATAAAAAAGCAAAAAAGGAAAGTTCATCTGAACATGGTAAAAAGAAAAAAAAAATTCAGTGGAGACACAGACACTAAATTCCCAAGTGGAAATCCTAGAAATAAAAATATCGATCATTTCAAATTTACAAATGAGCTCAAAAGGGGACTGGAAATGACAAAGGAATCAGTGAACATGAAGACAGACCAATAGAAATTACTCAGTTTCAGAGACAGGGAGGAAAATGCTCTTTATTCCTTCCCAGGAACAAAGTGAACCAAGGCTCCGTGACTTGCAATTTCAAAAGGTCTGATATAATCAGAATGCCAGAAGGCAAGGATAAGGAAAAAGGCGCAAATGTATACCTGAAAATATAATAGCCAAAATTTTCCATCTTTAATAAAAGATGTAACTCTACAAATATGTAAGTTCTGTAAATACTAGGAAAGGTAGATACAAATAAAACTAAATCCAGACACATCATAGTCAATCTTCAGAAAACCAAATATATAATAAAATGTTCAAAGCAGCTGGAAAAAGACAACACATTATGTACAGGGAAACAAAAATACAAAGGAAAGCTGACTTCTCATCAGAAACAATGGAGATGATTCTGCTGAGAGAGAGCATTAAAAAAGGAAGACAAAGGAGAGAGGTTAGCAGAAAGTGGAATGATATCTTCAAAGTACTGAAAGAAAAAAAGAACCACATCCAGCAAAAACATCCTTCCACAAAAAAAGGAAAATACTGTTTTTATAAAACCAAACTGAGATCATCAGTCACCAGCAGACGTGCACTGGAAGATACAGAAAAGCAGGGATTGGCTGACTTTTTCTGTAAAACGCCAAAGAGTGAATATTTTAGGCTTTGCAGTCTCGGTCTCTACTCTTATGATGTAAAAGCAGTCACTAAAAAACAAACAAATGGGCAAAGCAGTATTCCAATAAAGCTTTATAAAAACAGGTAGGCCACATTTGGCCCACGGGCTTCCATAGTTTGTTATGTTAAGTAAAATGAAGGTTTTTATAGGATGCACTTAACCCAAGAGAAAGCAAAAATGGAAGACAAAAGAACAAAAAAAAAAAAACAGACGAGCCAACAGAAAACAGAGTAAAATGGTAGGCCTAAATCTAATCATACCAACAGATTTTTAAAT